AGACCTGACTACAAGAATCTATCCCAAGTGATCAACAAGTATAAAGGGGTTCCTGTAATGGCACTAACAGCCACTGCTACACCACGGGTTAGAACAGATATTGAAAACCAACTCAAAHTGGTTAACAGTAACACCAAGAGGTATATGATACTTATTGGACACACTGGCACTGATATGCATTGGGCGTGGATGGCCATATCACRTGTGCATGTCCACAATGGTAGTAATACCAGTGCACTACACTCCTGTCACTCTGAATCCAATCTACTATTTAACAATTAGACCTCGAGGCCGAGTCCGCTAATGAAAATAAATTAAAATATCCTTAAAATAATTTATAATTTATTTATTTTGATTTTCCCGCTAGTGGTCTATCACAAATTAGACCATTAGTAGAGTAGCCAATCACAGCGCAGTATGAGTGATAGACCATTAGTATGTTTATGCTAAAATACTATAGTAATCCTTGATGTAGGAAATGAACTGGTTTTTTTCAGATTTAGTCAAAGCTTTAACAGACCAAACTTAAAGTTCCAAGTGGTTCCCAAGAAGAAGACCCTAGATGAAATCATGACCTTGATTAAATCTAAATATCAGAATTCCTCTGGTATAGTCTATTGCCTCTCAAGGTAATGTTATTGGAAATCATTGTTGATCTGTTGAGATGCATTCCATTTGATTAGTATAGGAAATCGCTCATCATTGTAGAATACAATTAAAGTTTTGAATGTTCTTGGAATTAATAGTCACATGTAAAATGTTTCAAAAGTTCTTTGAGAACTTTATAAAACATGTACATGTAGTACACTCAGTGAAACAAAATTTTATAAGGAGTACAATTAACACTGTAATTTGTACTTCTCGACCAATGAACAAATATTATTTTGTTGAATGAATGTGACTACTGTTTGAGCAAATACATGATTGTATTACCAGTAGTGGGTGAGGAGTTTCCAGGTTCACTATCTTCACTCGTTTAGGAATGAATGTGAGCGTGTTGCTGACAAGTTAAARGCTTCTGGAATTAGTGCTGTGCCTTACCATGCTGGCCTTGGTGATCAACAGAGAGTCAGAATACAAGAGACATGGATCAAGGGACGTGTCAAGGTAAAACAGCACTACTGTATATGGCAGTTAAATTCTCATACAGTGAATAAATTCCCAAGAAACCTTTATTAGAAACCTTTATATTATTATCACTGCCTGAAATCATCTGTTACTGTAGTAGTCTCCTCTTGCACCTCGTATCGACTGCGAGAGGAGACTATTACTGCAGGCATTGAAGGTGTTTTTTTTCACGGTTTGTGCTACTCCTTGAAGTCCTTGAAAAGTCCTGGAATTGAAAACTCGGTTTCAAGGGCACTTGAAAGTCCTTGAAAATGGGAAACATTGCTGTAAACTCTTGGAAAACTCATTGAATTTGATAACATTGACATGTTGCTTGTTAGCTTTTGAAATGAAATGTGGCTATTTTTGAAACTTGCCACTTGAAACGTCTGCAAGTATCAAAAAATATCTTCAAAAATTCTCCTGGAAATCGCGTTTTTTTGCTTAAAAAAGTACTTGAAAAGTCCTGGAATTTTGTAGCAAAAATGTAGCACGAACCCTTGTTTTTCTTTATTCTGTTATTTCAGGTTGTTTGTGCCACCATCGCCTTTGGGATGGGCATAGACAAGGGTGATGTTAGGTACGTTATTCATTACTCTTTGCCCAAGTCACTAGAAGGATACTACCAAGAATGCGGCAGAGCTGGAAGAGATGGCAAAAAGGCCGAGTGCATTTTGTTCTATTCTTATGGCGATATGCTCAGGATTAGAAGGTATGCAATGGTATAAAAATGCCATTTTTGTTACTTGAAACTTTGAAATGTAACTTACTGTAGATAGTCTATAACTTTCTTTTATTTCTACATCATGTTTCTCATATAGTGCCATGCGGTCCTCATATCCATATCTTTACCTTCTAATTACAGCAACCTATACATTTCACCACGACCTGCTCCCAGTCTGACCTAGTAGCTCAGCTGTTAGAGCACGGGTAGTACAAATCCAAGGCTCGTGGGTTCGAATCCCAGCGAGGTCGGAAATTAATATATTTCCAAGGGTCTTTCTCAATGAACTTCCTTCTAAAGCCCCATTTACACTTGCGATTTTTGCAGCGCAATTGTCTATCGCGCACCTGAAATCGTATGTGATTGCGATTGTTGCGGCGATCAAAAATCGCCGCGAGTTTGCAGCTAAATTTCAAGCATGTTCCAAAGTCAGGCGATGGTCGCGCGACTATCGCTGCGTCAATCGCGCTTCAAAAATCGCAAGTGTAAACGGGGCTTAAGCACTGTAACTTTACTTTATTTAATCTATATATTCATCACATACACTGCTATTCATCACTATCAGTCAGTCAATCTGATAATCAATCGCAGTGTGGTTGACTTATCAATGGTCCAGTGAAGCAGCCAGTACAACATATCAATCCATCATGAATTTTAGAAATAATCGTGAATAAATCAATATTATCATTCACATCTTAGAATGATTGAAGGAGACAAGACTGTGGGTGCCACAGACGTCCACATGGATAACCTTTTCCGYGTAGTCCAATTCTGTGAAAACCAAACCGAGTGTAGAAGAGTACAGCTACTCCACTACTTTGGTGAAACAAACTACGACAAAAGAGAATGCGCAGCCAATCAGGACACAGTTTGCGATAACTGCAGTGGTTCTGTKGATTACGTGAATAAGGATGTCAATGAAATAGCTAAAGCGTTTGTAAAGACCGTGAATAACGTAGTCCATAATGGCACATGGAATAAGCCGAAGAATGTGCGCTATCCTTTRAGTCACTTTGTAGACATATTTAAGGTAATAAATCAGTTATGAAGCTACAGATCCCATGGAATGCTGCTCTATGTGGACATAGTTGAAGTTCCGTCAGGTGTGCGTGGTCAAACACACATGATCTCAACAAAACCAAACAATAACCTTCTCCTTTGATCTTCGCCGGTCTTCCTAACCATCCCCCTCTACTAACTATGATATGGAGGACAATGCAATGTATTTTCGATTTCAAGAAAGTCCTTTGTTTTGTTTTGTCTTGCCCCAGATGAACTGCTTTGAAACCATTKTTATCCAGTGCGCTATGTGAAAAATGCCATTCTGAACCTGTGTGGGGATGTTTGACAACTCCATTAACTATCATTACCTATTAAACTTTATACAACTTTTCAGTAAAATCAGACGTTTTGATTGGTTGGCTTTCGTGTGTTATCAAAGTATAGATACACGGATTACGTCAAAACTAATTGTTTGTTGTATAAAACAGATAGATCTCATTTTTCCGTGCGTGTGTACTCTAATAGATACACAGATGACGTCAAAATGTAGTGAGAACAACAGTCACGCACTCGACTGCGTCTCGTGCGTACTTTTTTGTTCTCACTACATTTTGACGTCATCTGTGTATCTATTAGAGTACACACGCACGGAAAAATGAGATCTATCTGTTTTATACAACAAACAATTAGTTTTGACGTAATCCGTGTATCTATACTTTGATAACACACGAAAGCCAACCAATCAAAACGTCTGATTTTACTGAAAAGTTGTATAAAAAAATATACAGTACTGCAGTATTCCATATTATTGATACTGATTAGCGAACGAGAACTGTATGCGGGAACTGTATGCGCTACACGACCCTACACGGGTGATCTGTTTGTCGTCAGATGATGAAAAGATATAAAGCAGATCGTACTAATTATTTTAATTATTTTAAAAATAACGTTAAACAGATTGTAGGTACAATTTTTCGTTTATTGTTTTTACGAGTACGGTATATTTTCATAGTTAGATCATTAGAAATAGAAATAGTTTAGTTTAAAACGACATTTTGGCAAGTCAAGTTCGTACAAAATGACAA